TTTTAGTCACGTCACGTCCATAGTCACGGAGATTTGTCCAAACTATTATCGGCTCCAGAATTCAAAGCATTCGGATATTTTTTGAATAACTTTCGATAGGAACAAGATAGAGACCTGCGGTTTTCAACATTCAATAGCCAAGACTCATGAGCATATTTTCATAAGCAAAATTGTTTTTGAAAAGAAATCCGAATACCGATTCCTCTGAGAATCTTTGGAAAACCAAGTTAGTTTTCTGAAAATTGTCATAGTATTCTATTGATTTTTTTACATGAATAGATGTTCTAGAGTGTCTCCTACAAAACTAGATCTAAGCAAAAAGTTCTATCTTGCAAGATTTAGATGAACCAGACAATTTTCTCGAAGCCCTAGAACTCTCCTTTCTCTAGGTGTAGCATTATTACAAACACATGAAAAACCTAGGTTATCAATTATGCTGAATATCGTGGCAATATTTATTTTCATTTTAGAATTATATTTAATGGTAATGATGAAGAAACTGATAATTGAACTATTTTTTTTAAATACACTATTGTCTTTCTTCATATTTTTCATTCTATTCAAACAACAAGACTGCATAAATCATTATAAGAGCATTTTGTCATAAGAAAACACCATATATTAATAATGCTCGTGTATGATCAATAAACAAAATAATTCTAAAATGAGAATAAATATTGCCACGAAATTCAGCATAGTCGATAACCTATATTTTCATGTGTTTATAATAATGTTACACCTAGAGAAAGGGGAGTTCTAGGCTTTCGAGAAAATTGTCTGATTCGTCTAAATTTTGCAAGATAGAATTTTTTGCTTAGATCTAGTTTCGTAGGAGACACTCTAGAACATCTATTCATGTAAAAAAATCAATAGAATACTATGACAATTTTCATAAGACTAACCTGGTTTTTCAAAGATCCTTAGAGAAATCGGTGTTCGGATTTCTTTTCAAAAACAATTTTGCTTATGAAAATATGCTCCTGGGTTTTGGCTATTGAATGTTGAAAATCGCAAGTTTCTATCTTGTTCCTATCGAAAATTATTCAAAAAAATATTCAAGTACCTTGAATTCTAACGCCGATTAGAGTAAAGTTATTATTTGTACTAATTGAACTTGTTGTTTTTTTTTTATTATTTTAATTAAGATTAAATATGAAACATGAACATAATAAATAACTTCGATTTCTTATTTTTCAATTAAAATAGAAAGAAAATATGCTATTTTTCTCTTGCATTTTTTTTTTACTCGGATTTCTACAGCCACAGTCATATCACGACCATAAAATACTTGATCACGGTTATAGTCACGAAGATTTTTTCGAAATTAGTCATGGCCATGCGTGACCTTGATCATTTTGCAGAAGTCTACTTATAAGTATAGTTCAATGTTTCTCATATACAGTATCTTCATCAAAAATAAAGTATCCAAGGTATTTACGATTTTGAAAAAGTACCTTAATGGTACTCTGCAAAGTAGAAAAAAAAACCATTTTGTCGATCTTTTGCAGCACTATTGAAAAATTTCTTGTCTTCCTCTTGTTTCTTACAGATATTTTCTTCGTTAGTTCTTTTTGGATGTATTAAATTATGAATTTCAATCGAATCAACTTCATAATCTTACGACGAATCTATTAACATGCACGAACAAGAGCAATCATAATAATAATAATAATAACTTTCATTTTTATTCTTTTTTAATATACATATATTAGTAAAAATTAATTCTGAAAAGTATTTCTTAAACCTAAATATATATTTTTTTTTTGTCATTATCTATAAATTATTCCATCATATTGTTTTTTTCATAACAAATTACGAATAATTATAACTTTGTCTTTATTTGTATTGATCAATTCTTGGCTATGAGATATTTTATTTTAAATAGATTTCTATTGGAAACTCTCGTATAGTTAAAGATTGAAGCCAATGAAATATTTTAACATAAGAGGTCACTTTAAGTATACTTAAAAATAGTTATACCACACACTATTAAGAAAAAAAGAAATGAATGGAGAACACTTCAGACCTATGACTGTTTTTTTATTTATTGTCTTATTATTGTAGATATTATTCATTTTGAAGATTGATTGATTAAATCAATGGCTACAATTGATGCTGATAATCGACGAGAAATTGCTCGATTACCAAGTAGACCAGTAATGATAAATAAAAAAAACATAAATTTTCGTTTTTTTTTTAAATACTTCTTCTTTTATTTTATCTATTTAGATTTCGCTTGAAGATCGTTATGATCCTCCAGCTAATTTTCTTGAAATTGAAGTTCTTAATCCTGAAACACATGGTTTTGGTAATAAACGATATACGGATTATGAAATTCGAATGAGAGTAAAAGAAATTCTTTTGCATATTTCTAACATATATATATATTTGATTTTATTATATAGACAAATTTACCAGTTTTTCGTTTAAAAGAATGTTCTGTACGTCGTCGTTATTCAGATTTTGAATGGTTACGTAAAGAACTTGAACGAGATAGTAAAGTACGTTTTGTTTTTGTTTTTTGAAGAATTGTTTTAAAATTTTATTTATAATAGATTGTTGTACCATCATTGCCAAGTAAAGCATGGCAACGACAAGTACCTGCATTTCTTCGTCGTGATGATGGTATTTTTGAAGATGAATTTATTGAAGAACGACGTAAAGGACTTGAACAATTTATTAATAAGTAAATTTTTAGTATTACTTTTTTTGTTAAATAAAAGAAAAAAAGAATTATTTCATTCAATTTAGAGTTGCTGGTCATCCATTAGCACAAAATGAACGTTCATTACATGTTTTTCTACAAGATACAACTATTGATCACGATAAATATGTTCCCGGCAAAGTACGCAATTCATAAATAGAAAAATTTCAAATAATAAATTCATATATAAAATTTTTATATGCGATCCGTGTTTTTTCTTTTTTTTTCTACTTCCTATATCGCATTTATTTCTGTCTCTTTTTTTGATTTGTCCTTGCATGCTTGTCGGTTATTTTTTTAAAAGATAAAATTAAATGATAATTTATCATTTATTTTAAATATTAATGCTATTATCACATAGAAAAGTTTCTCTAGCAAATTTGAAGTCAATCGAGTTTCGTTTATTTATGATGGTTCAATATAACAAATACATGAACTCTCATTTTAAAAATTCTCTTATAATCGATAAAGTAAATTATGTAATAGTTTTGAATTTACTTTCGTCTAAGAAAAAGTACGTTCAATAAAATGTAATAATTAATAATAGAAGAAGAAAACATTGATCTATCGATTGAAGTAGGAATAAAGTTGTACGTGATCAGGCTTTGTTTTAGTGCCAGTCTAGAGAAAACTATTTCAGAATTGATTCATATCGCATCTAAATACATTCTTCTATATTCATTTCCTTTTTGAGCTGACTTTGACTAGCATTTTCTTGATTCATCTCTCTTGAATTATGTTCTGATTGATATGATTTATAAGATAATCCACTTATTTAACTATAATCTTTAATTCCCATTGGGACAACTTTTTTCTCGTAGTCCCAGAATTAAAATTGATCATGCACATCTCTCAACAGGACTTGTTGCAAGAAATCAATAATGAATAAATAAAATGTTTCTCCTACTTCTCGTGATTGTTCGTGTACGTGCCTTGAGAAAAGTTATAAGCATGCGCCACCAATACCTGAAACATTATGTCAAAGATGACTGTAGTCTATATAGACAACATAAGTTCTTGTCGATTCTCTGTATCAGCCTTATTCAACTTATTTTTGTTCCATTATTCAAAGCTGTGTTCAGAATTCATGAAATACAAGGTTTTGGAATTGATAGAAATTTATCTAAAATTTACATTTTTTAAGTCAATTCCAACCATTTCAGAGAAAGAGAGAGATCTGCGTTTTGTATTCGATGAAATTTAACAATCATTTCTAATAGAATATTCAAAACTAATCACAATTATTATGAAAAATTGTTGAAAATTTGATAGTTTTCAATGTTGAAGATGTATTAATATCTATGCCTAAAAGTAACATATGCCCAGCATTGAGAACTATCAAACTTTCGACAATTCTTCATAGTAGTTGGAGGTCAGTTTTGAATGTTCTATCGGATACAAAATACGAGCCTTTGAAGTAGTTAGAATTGTCTCTAAAAATATAAATTCTGAAAAAATTTCTTCAGTCAATTATGAAACCTTTATTTGGTATTCCATAGCTTTGGATAGAGTAAAATAAGCTGAGTAAGGTTGATGTAAAGAATCAGCATAGACTTATTTTGTTGGACGAAGATATTGAATTCGACCAAGTTGTGAAATCAAATCTTGTCGATATGCAACGAGCTTCTTATAAGATTATTTGTTGTGTAGCATAGTAAAAGTTTAAAGTTTTACTGAAAATGATACTAGAGTTTCTTAACAATTAGATAATAACATCAGCAAAGAAATATTTTTATCTTATCATACTTGCAATTAATGTCTATTATTCGATATGGATTATTTTTGTATATTAACTCTTAAATAATGAAGCAATACTTGACGAAAAACTTTCTATGAACATCATTCTTTTTCAAAGATAATTCTTGGAAATTCTTCACTTTTTTTTTTATTCTTCTAATAATCACAGATCAGACACGTTAGAAACATACGCATGATTCATATAGAAGAAAAGTTATATCGTTGAGACAAAAAAGGAAAAAAGAAACAAAGTTTTATGGTGTTACATACATAAAGAATAAAAATAATTATATCATTTGTATTTAAAAGTATTATGATTAATTTAAACAACAGATACAAAAAAAAATAACCTATACAATATATAGATTTATATGCAATATTAGAAAATAATTTCTAATATTATCATTAGTTTAAAATAAAATCCCACCATATGATTATTCTCTATTAGATTTACCTACATATACTTTCAAATGATTAATACAAAGTTTGTTAATATTAATTCATAATTATTTTTGTGATTGAAACTAAAAAACCTAGAAAAATCAATTTTGAATTGATATCACGTATAGGTTATTAAATATTCTGGATAACTCTACAAAATAAAAATAAATCATCAATTTTGTTCAATTTGATTTCTACATACTTGACTATCATAATAACATACAAAGATATGAGTACCATCCGTTGTTGTATCATATCCATCTAGAACAAATATATATTTCAATAATAAATCATTTTCTATCTATAAAAAGAAACCTTCTGGTTCATATATATTCGGATGACCAACTGAAAAGAAAAAAATTTAAGAGATTTTTCAATAAGAATTTCTAAATGAACGAAAAAAAAAATCATCACTTACTCATACTTCGACCAATAAGAACACGACTGTAAAATATACGTTTTTCTTTTTTTTCATTTGGATTTGCATATCTATTTGAATAACTTGCATTACTTGAAAAATATACTCCTCGGCCATAACAACATCCTAAGAAAAGAAATGAATTAAAGTTATAAATATACAAGAATAGATAAAATTATAAGAACAAAATATTTTAGATTTTTTCTCCTATGCCATGTATCTATCTCAAATCCAAATAGTGATTTGAGATAGATGCGTGAGATAGTAGAAAAAAAAAACTCAAAACTACTCTGCTCTTATAATTTTATCTCGTATTCTATATAGATATATGTCGGAGGAGAAATCAAAAATTCAGGATAACTTGAAATTTCAATTTTAACTGGATTTTTTTCAAGAAAAATTTAAAATATCTTTTACATCCAGTAGAATCGATAGAGGATCAAAATGGCAAAATAGACAGAACAACTGTTATACTAAACACACTGTTATATAAAATTATATCGATTCAATCACATCCAAATGATATGAATACCTAGCAATTATGAACCATAACATATCAGGTCTCGAAATCGGGCCACTTTTTTATGGCTCGAACATTGTTTAGGCTCGCTCGGCCCAACAAATTTTTCGGTCCGATCGGGTCACCGAGCTGGGCGGCCTGTTTCGAGATCTGCAACATATATATAATCTCTTCATGGTTCCAGACACTCGATCTATTGAGTTTATCAATTTGTAACTTACGTGGTGTTGATTCAATAACATTACCAACAATAACATCTATTCAAGCCTGCTAAGTGTATGTAAGTGCAAGATTACTTACTTCTATTGAGAAGCATGTAACTGTAATGATACTGGTTCAATAAAGAAATGTCGTTGTCGGAGAGTAAAAATTCAGTATGATACCAAATGTAATTCATATTGAAATATCTAGTTTAAACTTCATATTTTTGATATATAGAAATAATAAAATTTATACTATATGTTCAGAAATATTTAAAAATTGTTCTAGAGGAAAAACTAAAGTTTTAAGTTTTTCTTGAAAAAATCCAGTTAATATGAAAATTTTAATTTTTCCTTCGACATATATATATATACATTTCTAAATAAGAGAAATCGCTGCTCCATGAAGCATTACTATTCTTTATGTGATATTGAACGGATATTTTGAGTGCATGCGTCCAACAGCACTAACTTCCATGTCAATTCTTCAAATTATTCACACACGTTTTTTCTCTTGAGAAAAATATGTTCTCAAAAACTTTTTGTTCATGATCTCAGTTATTTTAAGGTGATTTCTAACATGATTAAGATAAGATGTTCATAAGAGAAAGATATTGTGTCGATCATAACTCCAGCATATATGAACCCAATGAAATTCTCTACAATAACTGTATTGAAGTTTTATTTAGAAAATATGAAGATGGAAAACTGCACGAAAAAAAAATATCTGAGAAATTTCAAAGCTATCAACTTTCTAAATGTTTATGAAACCGACAGGCTGTATGGAAATAAGTTTTCTTATGTTGTCAAGTCTGCTCTTTCTCACGGTGTATCATAGATTTCATCAAAATTTAGTGTTAAAACAGAAAGGATCACTTTCTTGAATTAGACTAATTAACAGAAAGAATTTTATCGTTTTATTTAGCCTATCGCACGTCTTCTAATTGATAATAGCAGTTTAGATATGCCAGAAGTGTCCGCAAGGCAGGGTAAGATCTTATTCCCTGCAAACTGGAAAATCAGGTTTTCGAATTTTGATCCTGAAAAGGAGCGGTTTTTTTCAGCCTTTGAGAGTCAAAAATTAAAAATAGACTGCCGAAGGTGGTACCAATAGGTATTCAGAGCGTTCCTCTATAGATCAACATCTGATTGAACGAAGTAGAATTAAGAAATAAGTAAAATGATTATCGAAGTATTGTGTTTATATTTCTTATTCTCATGTTTTTAGTAGATCAAAGAAAAAATTTAAGTTATAAGTTCTATATCATTCAATTCAGTTTGATATCAATGATGTCATCAGCTGTTTCGTTATAAATTTGCAAGTGAAACAAAGTACTTACACAAATCGATGCTTTTAGAAAGTCAAATATATGATTATAGTATAAGAAAACGTGCCGAACTGGATCAATATCTTTTGTTTGAATTTGATAAGAAAAATTGCTTAATGTACTGCTAAACTACTACCAATTCAAAAGTGACGGTTTTAAATAAAAGAATTCTCTCTCAGTTAGCTATAACGTAGAAGATAAAGCTTTTCAAGAACTATAAAACGGATAGTTAGATTTTTATATTTAAAAAAAAATAAAGATGACAACAATTCAAATTTTTGTTATAAAAAGATTTAATATCAGAATTTCATGGTGTATCTTTTTAAAAAAATTAGTTATATATAAATTCGTATGACAAAAAATACTCATTTCTTCTCGATCATTCAATATAAGAACAAAAAAAAAAAACAAATCTTACCATTGATTCCACAATAACTTCGATTGAAACCTCTTTCAATAATTCTTTTTGAAGCTAATTCAGGACAACCATGATATAGAAAACACATAGTTCCATTATCTTTCTTACCGTATCTAGTAATAAAATCTTCATGTGCTACACAAAATTGTTTAAATAAACGTAAATTTTGAATACGTTCAATAGATATTAATATAGTCTAGAGAAAATAAAAATTATATTTAAATTGGAAATTTTATAAATTTACATAATATTCTTTCATTGTCTTATCGAAATTATCTTTAATTGTAAGATATTCATCTGATTTATCATCAAGTATAAATCGTTCTCTAAAATAACAAAAAAAATTTCAAAAAAATATAGAAAAATTTTGAAAAAAAAATTTATACAAATTTAATGGTGTAAGAGTCCAATAACTTGGTTGTTGTTCATCAATTTTTAATCGACGAATACGTTTTATACGTTGACCATAAATTTCTTCCATTTTATTAATATCAATCAATATATTTTCATCTAATTGATTGATTAATGTAAACTAAAGAAAAGAATCAAATTTAATTCTTATATTTATTCATCAAATCAAATATTTTACATTAAATATATTTAATTTATAATTATATTCAATTTCATTTGTAATTTTAGAATTATATAATTGCCATGTAGAATCCCATGCTTCATACCACCAATGAATATTACCTTCAATATTTTGTTTTTTACTATTTTTGACAAGTAATTCAGTTTGTAATTCGAAAAAACGTTTTTCTTTTCGATGAAAAATTTAAAACAAAAAAAAAAAAAGAAAGAAATCTAATTAGTTAGATTTAATATTTTTAACATATCATTGATATAAATTAATATTCTTACAAAAGTAGTTGAACATTCTGATAGTGCGTGGAACGCTCTACAGTCACATGCTATATGTACGTTTTGAATTACATTTGTTTATTAACATAAAAATTCAAATACAATGAAGGCATTCTCATCGTCAGATTCCCGGAAAATGCATTTTTTTTCTTATCAGTCTTGATTTTCAAATATTGTTAATGTATTTCACGTGTTACATTCTTAATTTATGTCAATGATATGTTACAAATATTAAGTTTAACTATTTTTTCTTTCTATGGGAATAGAATCATAATAAAAACTAATATCTTACTAGCTTCTATATTTGATTTATTACAACCAAATAGATGTAATTGTTTTGTATTAAAGTTGAATATAGGTAAAACTAATCGAGTTGAACAAAATTCAAAATATTTATTAAGAATATTTTGATTATGTTGAAGTAATACATCACATTGTATAGAACATATCATTTCTTGATAATCATTAGATAATTTGTTTGAATTTTCATATTCCATTAGTTTTCAATTTATTATAATAATATTTATTGTCAATAATGACAAAATATTTATAATGATATTTGTTTTAAATAAGTATTTAAGTCATGATTATTTAGTAACAATAAATATACGGAGGAAGTTAATAGACATCATCAATGACTAATCATCTACTGTTCGATAAGTGCGAAAGAAAAATAAATATTATATTATTAAAGGTGACTTAAATGACGAAATGGTTTTTTTTTTCACCTAACATCAACTATTCGTCAGAAAAAAGAATGGAATGTAATAAATCTACAAAGAATTTTGTAATAATTCTGTTTTCAATGCATATTTAATATACACAACTCAGAGAAAAATTCCATCAGATTCTTTTCTGCACAATCATCATGATTCAGTATTTTCACGTCATTGCAGGAGAATATGAGTTTGACATAAAATATCAAAAACAAAAAAAAAAGAATCGAATATCGAATGATGCAACACAAATAGACAAACTATACTCGTACTTCCAGTTTTAATTGTTAATAGTGACCTCTATTTCAAATACGGCCCTTCCTCTATTAAACGAAAGATTATTTTCAAATTGGTTGTTTCTTATTCAAAGAATGACCAATCAATATTTTAATCGATACTTTATGGATGGAAGATATTTGAATGAATTTCTACAATAATTTTTCTTTGATATCAACTCTAGATTCTCAACAATTCGTGTTTAATTTAATTTCATAAATGGGTCCATTCCGAGGAGGTATAAAATTGTTTTTGTTTTTTTTGAAATATTATTCATTAATTTATTTAGGACGTGGAGATTCTAGAGGAGGAGGAGGCGGTCGTGGTCGTGGAGGTGGTGGTGGAAATTTCCGAGGCCGTGGCGGTGGTGGCGGTCGAGGTGGAGGAGGTGGTGGTAGATTCAATCGAGAACCTGAAGGTCCACCTGATACTGTCGTTGGTAAGATATATGTTCTTTATTTTCTTATTAGAAACTCTTTTAATTAAATAGAACTTGGATCCTATTCACATGCATGTGAAAGTCAACTTGTATGCAAAGCAACAAATGATATGATTCCATATTTTAATGCTGGTATTTTTCTTGAAAATAAAAAACAAATTGGTAAAGTCGATGAAATACTTGGTCCAATGAAACAATATGTACGAAGAAAACAAAAAATATTCGATATGATTTAACATTAGGCTAATCTTTTTTTTTTCTTCTTTCTATTTAGTGGTTTTCTATAACACTCTTGGAAAATATGAATCCAAGTTCATTCAAAAAAAATGAAAAAGTAATTGCATAGAATATTTTCTTTTTGAGAATTTTTTTCTTTTGTAGCTTTTCATCGATCCGAATAAATTATTGCCATTGGCTCGATTTTTACCAAGACCACCAGGATCAAAACCAACAGGTGGTGGTGGACGAGGAGGACGAGGTGGTGGCGGCGGTAGAGGTATGACATTACTTTTCTAAATTGTAATAGATAAACAGAGAATTGGACAGAAATTTTCAATAGAAAATCTAATTTTTGATTCTGAACCAAAGAAAAATATCGTATTTATGCCTTGCAAAACTTTTTTATCTAAAATCTGATAAAAGCAAATGTATTTGTTTGTTTTTGTTAGTTGAAAACAAGGACTTAAGATAACTATTCATATTTCTGATATATAATATTGAATTTTTGTTTTTGTATTTAGGTGGTTTTCAACGTGGTGGCCGAGGTGGTGGCGGTGGTGGATTTCGAGGTCGAGGCGGTGGCCGAGGTGGTGGCGGTGATGGATTTCGAGGTCGAGGCGGTGGCCGAGGTGGTGGCGGATTTCGTGGTGGTCGAGGACGTGGAAACTAATATTGAAAAAGAAATTGTTTTCCTTTTTGTTTGTATTTTGCCATTTTTTGTATGGCAATTATAATTGTTGTTGTTGTTGTTGTTGTTTTTCTATCCGTTATATACACAAAACAAACAACATAAAATAAAATTATACAAAAAAAAAAAAAAAAAAAAACTATGAGTGTTCTTTCTTTCAGAAATTTAACGTGGTATTGGTTTTGATAATATAATAAGTATAGCAGAAATAATTCGAAGTAATGTACCAATAATAATAATTAAATAATTTCTTCGACCAAAAATTTCTTTAAAATAAAATATTGCAATTGTACCAGGTCCAATTGTAATTAATGGAAATGATATTGTTTGACTTAAAACACTATTTGCAATAAGAAAACCAACTTGTGCAATACTCCACATAATACCAGATATAATAACTGGAAATATACTTTCAATATGAAGATATGGTCAATTACCTTTACAAACAATATAAATTAGATAGTAAAACATTGATGAAAAAAATATTCCAGAATACATTGCAAATACATAATGAAGACCATTTTTTGATGCTGTTTGATATATATTAGGATGATCTTGAATATAAGTACTTGGAATAAAAATAAAACCAAATAAAATACCAGCAATAATAGCTAATATACAACCAATAATACATTTATATAAATTTGTAGATGATGAAATAGTAATAGTTGGTGTATCAATTGGAGTTGCATCATTACATGTTGTTACAATTGGCGATGATTGAAGAATAGGTTGTTGTTCTTCTTCTAAATTTTGAATAATTTCTTCTTGTTTTATTGTACGTATTCCTAAAAATGCAATACCACTTAAACAAGTAATTATAACACCAATATAATTAAGAATTGGTTTTTCAACATTTTCGGGTGATAAACCAAACCAACCAAAATGTCCACTTGCCCAACCTAATTAAAAAAAACTGAAAAAAAAAAATTATATCATATTTAATACTTACCAACAAGCATATTTGTTGTACACCAAAGTAACGTTGACATTCCTAAATCATTAATACGAATAACAAAAATACTTAGAATATTTCCTGTTGTCCATAAAATTCCACCAATTAAAAAACTAATGGAAAAAATTGAGGACTTTTTACAAATAAATCAATAATAAGACCAATAATCCAAATACCACAACACATAAAAAATTGAAATGATAAACCATCACCTATAGGATATTTTCCAGCTGGAACAAGATTCGAACCAAAAAAAATGTACAGCAATTATTGTGTACTCAAAAAGTTCATACACTCTAGAATCGGTCAGTGTGTCCGTCCGGTCGTTTACACGATAACTTTTGAAAGCAGAGTCCGATTGCGATGAAATCTTCTATACAGTTTAGTCTCAACAATATCTCAGTAGAGTTCGAAGATGAGAATGATTGGCCGAGCCATTGCTGAGTTATTGCAAAAATAGTCATTTTTCCCTATGAGAAGATCGACCTATCTCCGCTTTTGTAAAAAACTTTTCCTATCATAGTCAAATAAAATCCCAACTATTATATACCATTCGATAGAAAATTTCATGAGTTACAAAATGGTATATAAAACATAAGGAAACAAGAAAGCCAACTCAGCTAATGCAAAGATAATTAAACGGAATTCGGTTCTGTTTTTCTCCACGCTCTATTTTCCGATCACAGAGATGATAGTTCGAGGTTTTCTGGGGTGGAGAACTCGAATCTGTGCTCCATTCGCCTCGAAATCCCATTGGTTGAACAGTAACCAATAGAAATCAAGTTATAGGAAAAACTACTTTCTTAGGGTAAATTAAGGTGAAGAGTTGAAACCTTCTCTGTATTCATCCCCAAATCCCATTGGTTGAGCAGTAGCCAATAGAAATCAAATGTTTATAGATAAGGTTTGTCTGGATAATTTTTATATCCCCACTTTCTAGAACGACTCATCTGTCTCATTCACTTTTTGAAATACACATAACTCTCGGATTTAAATCCGAGGTTTCCACATTTATTTTTTACTAGGGTCACGTTATCTTTACTTCATTTTATTTCATAAATATCAGTGCAATTTTTATATTTATAAAATAAACATCATTTTTCTATGAGGATCTAATCTTTAATTTTTTGCCAAGTAGCTTACCAAAAGATGCGACACCATAAATGTATATCAAATACACAGAAAGTTTTTTTTCTTGCATATATATTCTTTTGTTTCATGTACTCGCTTGATTTTCTAATGATATGACGTGTTGAAATGATATTCGTGGCAAGAAAGAATATTGTTTCAAATATCCAGTTGTTATACTGGGAATTTGTCTATCTATGTATAACAGAACAAATCTTTCTTTATTTTTTAATTTTCAAAAATAAATAATTCATCTATTCTTCATTTGATAAATATAAAGATTTATTTTTACTTATAACTTCTTCTTTACTCTAGTTCAAAAATAAAGTTATTACTGAAAAACAAAGTTTCGATGTGCTGAGTTTCATAAAATCAACAGAATTTCTGACACAAAATTTTTAAGAACTCATGGTCTTTTGTTATGTTTTGTGAAATTTTTTAGTGCGTCGTGAGCTTCTAACATAATTATGATCTTCTATTCTTGAACTGTGTTTAATAAAAATTGACCATCTTTTAATTTAGTTGATTAAAATTAGGTCTTCTGAATGAAAGACAATTTTTCTTTCTTGTAGTTTTTTCCTTGTTCATCAAGTTTTTGAGCAAGTAGTCATTTCATATTCAGATTTCTTAAGATATGTAACAGAAAAAAACTCGATTACATTTCTAATCAACATCATTTTATAAGTAAGGCTTAATTCATTCAAAATTATTTGTAAAAAGACAATCAAAATGAATTGAAGATGAAATAATTAGATTAAAATTGATTGAAAATATTCCCATTTTAATTGATTTTTAATCAGCAAAATTAAACTAGAATAAGTCTTTTTTCATTTTTTTGGTAAAGGACAAACATTTTTGCCCTATTCTGCTCTGTGACGGCCTCTAGATCAGATCCAACACAACATTCTAAAGGTTTTAGCTCAACCGATGAATAGAAAATTTCTTTACAATAAATATTTTGCTATTTAAAATAAGTTATCTCTTGTATACATTGAATATTGATTTAAAATAATTAAGTGTTTCTTTCAAATTTTTTTTATAAATCTTCTGTAGAAATACGTAAGACGTAAAACTGATTTCATACACATTAATGTTGTTGAAAATACTTGTTCAAAACGATCATTCTCAGATGAATTTAATGAACTTTTATGTATTTGATATAATGAACGTTTTAATTCGAGTAATTTCATCATTAATGAATTATTTCCAAAAGCACCTAATTGTTTACGATTAACTTTTTTATCTTTATCTGTATTCGATATTGTTGATGAATCTTTATCATTCTCCTTAAAAAGAAAAAAAAAACAAATGAACCCGTTCAGACAAGACATGATCAAATATATTCTTCATATCTAAAAT